GGATAGCATTTCTGTATCTAGTAGGTCTTTTTTCAAGCTATAATTAGCTTTCAGGTCTTAAGCCCTAAACCTCAGCAAAACATGCCCAAGAACTACACACAACATGCCTTGAAGAGTGTCCTGCAGCTTCAGCAAAGCTGAAACACCCTTTCACCAAGAATGCCTCCTGTCACCTCCATTTATCTATTTGAAAACTATGTAAATACTACCTAATGTTTTGAAGCTGTGTGTGACACAAAACTATGAAGCACAATCAAAACAATAGATCTGTATAAAGACGCAAAGCAGGAATACGTATGCAATCCCAGCTGATGGGCTGTGTTGTGTGCAAGTAAGGTCTGTGGTCAGCACATTGCCTGTATGAACAAAACATGTTTCCAGCACGTGGCGAAAAGGTAATACGTCTTTCTCATGGGAGAGGCTGTTCCAAAGGGCAGGTGTGTCATTTCTGTAAAAGGCCTCTTACAAGTGGATTCAAAGTGGAACATTGACACTGTGGTGCCACCAAGAGGATTTCAACTGCTTATCTCTGTTGAAGGTATGTAGGATTTTGCCAAAGAGTGTTTGATGAATTGCCATTTCTTGCTCCTTTTAAAAAACAAACCCAGATGCAACATAGCAATATATAATAAAGAACCTCTGCACATATAAGAGCTTTCCCCTTGTGGCTATGCAACTGCACTTGGAATTATTATTATTATTATTAAATTTATATACTGCCCTATACCCGCAGGTCTTGAGGCAGTTCACAGAATAAAAGCATCAGGACTTACTTCCTTTGGCAGATGTGTTCCCCATATACCTGTGTCCTGGTGCCTGCCTTATTTTATATTGTATTTATTGCATTTATCGTGCTCTGCCTTTACTGTTGACATTCATATTTATACGTCCAATTTTATTATTATCATTTCACCCTGTCTAAAACAATGAATATATAACAAAAAGAAACCCTAAAATTATTTAATTGCACCTAACATGCATATGATCTTGTACATTTGAGTTCCAATACGTAAGAAAAGTGCTCCTTTCATCACTGAATATGTCATCAACCTTCCCTCCCTGACCTAGACAAAACGAGTTAAATTGATCATACACGCTATATCCCAGATACTCATTAGCTACTGTATCTCCCCCGCCCCCCCTATTTATAACTCACAGGCATTCTAACAGCATTCACCTTTAATCCTATTACAAAATTGCATGGGAGCTGCTGATCTCACTTGACAAAAAAATACAACTTGAGAGCCTAACGAAAGGGTGCCTCCCCAAACCGTACCCACCTGACATGTGGCATCAGGTGGGTGGATTGGCTACAAGACCAAGTTCCTCATGGGGAGCTTTCTCATAGCCATCCATTCCAAAAGCAAGGCTGAAATCCTCACCCATCAGTTGATGCCCAACCAAGTTCTCCATGGAGAAGTCAGTTGTGCAGCTGATCCCCACAGAAAGCATCTTTGCCAGTTCTATGCTCAGCATGTTACTTCTTTACAGAGCCTCTTGGACTGCAGTTCCCATGTGCCCGACAATCCGCTGGCGGTTGGTGCTGTATAAAGGGCTTTCGACAGGTGGGTTGCCCAGCTCACCTGTCAAAAATGGGGGCAGATCTGCCTGGCCAGAAAGGTTCCTCACCCCTGGTCAAAGGGAAGATTATAATTAAGTCATTTTCTCTATATTAGGAATTAATTAGGGATTTATTAGATGCAGAACTTTTGGATATTAATTACTTTATCTTTTGGCACGCCCAATAAATTTAGTTTGCATCTGCTCTAATTGCATTGCAGTGCCGAATATGTGTCATAGATTTTGAGATAGGTTCAACTTAGTCTTCATGGGGTGATGTGCCATCTAAATCAGGGGGGGCTAACTTGTTATTGCACTCCAGCTTCCATCATCCCTGATTGTTGGCCATGCCAGCTAGAGCTGATGAGACTTGGATCCCTCACCCCTGTTACAACTACTTGTGATAATGAATTACAAGAAGTTTACGGAGGCCCTTCGAGACCATGGCATAGCCTTATGCTAGGACAATACTGTATACTTGGCCAAGACCATGTACTTTCATCACTGGTATTCAATTCCTAATTAACAGATTTGCAACCATCAGATTTCATGCACTTCCAGAGCAAACTGCAAACACTTCCAGTTTACTGAGCGTTCAGCCTGATTTGCCTGCAGAGAGATTAGACAATGTGGGCTATTTAATGCGCATTCATTTGGATTTGTTTGTGGGGAGGTTAGAAGACATTGTGTCAAAGCAAGTGCTATTCCCCACACTCCCAGTGTGTTTTGCAATCACTTTGTGATTTTTGTGCTTTTATATTGTAAACTGCCTCGTGATCCCTGGATGAAGGGCAGCCTAGAAATTTAATGAATAATAATAGTAATAATTTGCTCATTCCAAAGCAATCTGTGAACCGAAACACAGCCACCCTTTGAAATCCTTGCTTCACCCACAATTTGCAATGTGCTTCTCCTGCTGGATAATGTGTGCGAATTTGCATATGCTTGGATAAGGTGCGTGTAAAAAAGTATACATTTGCGAAATAACGTACAAAAATGCATTGCATTAGGGCAAATTGGTTTTGCAAAAATGTGTGGAACTCAGAAGAATTGCATGTAAACATGCAATAGGAGAAATTCACGGTGATGCACTGATGAATTTTCATGAGGGTTTTAACAACAAATAATTTGCAAACTGGTGTGGAACTGCGAAGAGCTGAACTTCAGAATGGAAATGGTCACCCTCCTCTGCACATGTTTCAGCTTGTCAGTATCTTTCTGAGGGAGTATACCAGGGAAGAAGGGCTGGGAAAGAAGATGAGAAGTTCAGTCATGGATCTATTGATGAGTTAGTGCACAGCAAGCCATTATTTCAAACCTCCCTGTCTCCTGGCATCAGCAACTTTTCATGGGATACTGCTTGCCCTGTCTTATTTTCTAGTCCAAAACATTTTGGTACGTGAGACCAAAACAACAAACACCACCACCCAATGATAGGACCCTCTTCCTGATGATGGACTTGTGGTACAATCTAGAGGTTTGTGGACTGCCTCCCTAGGTTCATGTCAATCTGTCTGCAGCCCGGCTCACCCAAATTATGCTGCCTGAGCAGTCAGTCACCCTCACTTTCTTGGGCAGAGCCATACCACACATTTAAAGCACCCCCCCAAAAAAAATCCTGGGTATTGTACTTTTCTCTTCATAGAGCTACAGCTCTCAACAATTATCAAACTAGAGTTCCCCTGATTCTTTGGCAGAAGTCACGTGCTTTAAATGTGCATGGGATGTGCTTTGGATGTATGGTGTGAATCTGCCTATTTTGTGGTGTTTCTGTGCCCAACGTATTTCTGCCTCTCTGTTTCTGTGCCCGGTGTATTTCTAATGGCCATGCATGATCTAAGGCTCCCACTTGCCTCCCCGCTCCCTCCACCAGCCTCTTGCTGCGTCTTTCAAGAGGCTTTAGGCTTCAAGAAAGCTGTGAGGTCCAGCTAATCGGCTCGCTCCTTTGTGACACTGATGTATGGGACATCATAAAGCAAACGAAGTACCCATCGGGGCTGGATTAATCTCCTGCCCCTTTTCAACAACAGGGCCCATCTCTGTGCCAAATCATTCGACGTTACAAGGACATTTTTCTCTGTCTCAGGGAGACATTTCATTTTCAGAGAAGACAAAGTAACTCTCTAGGTAAGTTACAAGCCAGCCGTAGGGGTTGCGAGGTTTCTTGGTCTGGTTCCAGAGCCTAGGGTGAGTGGGTGGATTAATTAACTCTTTGTAAAGCTTTCCTGTTGAGACAAGCCTTTCGGGAAGTGGTGGCCAGAACAGGTGACTCCGTTCACCTCTCCTTGGCAGCAAAGGAATCAATGCCCTAATGCCTAATAACCTGTGGCCATCCTGATGGTGATGGACTCCAGCTCCCATCATCCCTGACCATTGAGCCACACTGCCTGAGACTGAGGGAAGTTGGGAGTCCAGCTACATTTGGTGCACCACAGGTTCCTCACTTCTGCCCTAGGTTCTCCAACTTGGGGCAGGCTGTGTGTCTCTCAAGTCATTGACTGCAGTGGCAGCAAGGGAGCCTCCTTTCTCCCTAGTATTTATTTATTCTTATTTATTTATTCCATTTATATCCCACATTTTCTCCAGTGAGCTCAGGGTGGGGTACGTGGTTCTCCCCTCGTCATTTACTCCTCGCGACAACCCTATGAGGCAGATTAGGCTGAGAGGCTGTGACTGGGCCAAAGTCACCCAGTGAGCTTCATGGGCATGTCAAGATTTGAACCCTGGCCTCCCCTCCCCTTTCTCTGACACTCTATAACCACCACACTAGCTCTCAGATGCTGGGAGCTGGCTGGCAGGCTCTTGAGGCGGAGAGGCTCGATTCCTGTCCTTTAGATCAGTATGGAGAGCCACAGTGGGGTGCTTTTTTCAACCTGAGGGCCACATTCTCCCCTTCGGGGAGGCAGGCACATGCTAGCAGCATGTGGGGTCAGAGGCTAAAATGGGCAGGTTCCTTTTGTACCTTGGGCTTCTCCAGGTAGGCCCAGAAAGACCCCGGAGAGCAGCTGCTAGCCTATGTATGTAGACCCCTGGTCATCAACTGATGGCCTAAGCGAAGGTGGGTCACAACAGGAGCACTACCACCCTGCAAGAATATGGTGAAAGATGAAGAAATGGGTGCCCATATGGTGTTTGGGTTAAAAGTGAACCCTGGGTGTGAAAAGGACAATAATGAGCTAGGTAAGCCAGTGGTCTGACTTGGTACGAGGCAACTTCCTGTGTTCCTATGATGCTCTTGGTATGTTTGAAAGGCCAAACAATCCCAACCTGGAATTTAAAAAGAAAGAAAATGACTTAGGCCTACAAATCTAAAGCTTACAGCTCCCCCTGGTGGTCCAGAACCATTTGTACAGGCAGCTTTAGCTTTTTTCATAGAATTACAGAGTTGGTAGGTACCCCAAGGGTCATCTAATCCAACCCCCTGCAATGTAGGAATATCTTGCCCAACGTGGGGCTCAAACCCACAACCTTGAGATTAAGAGTAACGTGCTCTACCGATTGAGCTATCCACAGTTTTGGATTGTGGTGATTTGCTGCTTCTCCCCATATTATTATTTTTATACTTGCAAGCAGCTATCACAATGCTTTTGCCTGGGTTCTCATTGTGGGGTGAGCCTCTTAGGTTGGAAAGGTGGGATCACTACGTGAGCTGGAAGTGAGCAGAGTGAGATGGATGGTGGTGATGTGTGGGCTCCTTGCTCATACTGGGAACTCTGGAAGCAGAAGGAAGAGCTTCTTAGTCCATCTCCTTCAAATCAAAGACTTAGAGAGCATCTAGGTAGGTCACACCAGATAAGCAGATGGTGCAACAGGGGAAGAAGTAGGTGTAACCACAATGGCACCCTTTAGACTGTGATTCCTATCTGTGACCATTGAGGTTGGTGGAAGGTGGAGTCCAGCAATATCTGGAGGGCACCATTTTGGCCCCTTTTGCTGTAGGATGTAGTAAACAGAGCCTCCAGCTCATGGTCCAGATTTGGCCCTGCACAAGTCCCAGCTGGGTGTGCAAGACTCTTTTCCCCCAGACCATGCCCACCTGCCCCAGCCCTGACATGTGACATCAGGTGTGGGGCAGGTAGCGATCAGGCTCAATGAACTCTATTGCAGAACCAGTTCCTGCAGAAAGCAGCTTTCGTGGGCCTTTAATGTAGATTACTGCCTAAAGGTAAGAGTCACACCCATTGCTTAATTGTTTGTTAAGGGTGCCAAGAGTCATGAGGAGCAGTGGCGGAGCAAACCTGGGGCGGCGTGCGGGGCCTCCAAGCGGGCTGCCTGCCTCCTCCTGCTCAGCCGCCCTACAGCTGAGGGGGAGGTGACGGGCAGACTATTTGGGGCAGTGTGGAGCCTGCGGGGGTGCTGCAGGACCCACAGTGAGTGCCGTCCAGCATTTTGTCACCCCCCTCAGTGGTGACACCTGGGGCAGACCGCCCACAGTTCCCAGAATTCTTTGGGGGAAGCCGTGGTCTAGAGGTGCTTTAACTGTATGAGGGGGCTGTGCCCCTAGGTTCACATGGGAGAAGGCACCTGAAGTGTGCAGGGTGATTGTCTTTGTGGGTTCTGTGTTGGAGCCAGATGGGGATGGCCCTAGCTTGCGAGTTTCACCTATGCCTAGTCTGCTCCATACTGCAACGCTCAGCAGCCTTATCTCCTTCCCTATCTCATCTCCTTGCTCTCTTGTTTTGCTGTCTGGCTAAGCTGATTGGTTTTCAGTTGCTTGGCAATCCTCTGTTATGAAATACCCAAGGCTGCCTGACACTGCAGATTCCTCTCCCAAACCCCCTTCATTGTTCCTATGAAAACCACAGATAATCAGAGGAAAGCCTTGCGTGATGTGAGGTTGAGAAAAGAGGACAACATCGTGTTCCGGGTTGACCTCATCATGGCCTAAATGTCACATTCCCATCGTTCTTGACTGCAGCAGCCCCCGACATACAAAGCATCAATTTTCTTAGTATGTGAGGCTTGTTCCACCCTCCTTCCATTCAGTCTTCTAAAGAGCCTCATTTGATGAGGTTGTTGGCATTGGACATAACAAGGATTTGTATCCCGTGGAAGTTTGTGATAACGAGGGAGATGAATATTCATGGAAATGAGAGGTCACACATATCCCACAACTGTCCCAATTTAAGCGGGACATCCTGGAATCACAGAAGCCAATTCCAACTTCTGATTGCATCCCAGAAGGTCCCGTTTTTTGGTCTGGCGCGAGTCAGCAGGGTCACACCAGAGAGCCAGACCGGAAGGTGCTCTGGCATGATCCCAAGTTTGGGGACAAAAATGTTGGAGAGTATGTAGTTCCATGCTTGCTTTTCTTCCCAATACAGGGCTACAAGAGACAGAGAGAGAAAGGTGTAGTGCTTAGAGTGTCAGACTAGAACCAGACCACGAAGCTCACAGGGCTACAAATCTCACTGTTCTTTTCAGCACATTTCTCCATCACTTTCCTAACTGCAAAAGTCCTCTTTTTTAAAAGAAAGAAAGATTTGTTGCAGTAGAGTGACGGAATCCTTTAACCCACTTTAAATACACAAGCCAAAATTTATGGTATGTGCTTGAATCCCTCACACAAAACAGCAACAGTCTGGAGACATCCAGAGTATTTACTGCATGGGGAAGGCGATAATTTAAAATCAAAATAGAAGAAAGTGATCACTCAAGCTGGTACTGTTGCTGAGGCACCAAAAGTATGTGCCTCAGAGAGGTGTTATAATCTTTATGTGTGTGGTAACACTGTGGGGTTATTACTACATTATTTTTCTTGTTGGGCAACCCCTGCCCGCCCCCAGCCCTGTGGTGCTTATGTTGACAAGGCACCTTTTGAACAACTAAAAGCCACCTGTCAGGCAGGCAGGGCCAGTGTGTTTGAGCACAGCTCCCTTAGCAACCAGCCTGCTTTGTTTCCTTGCTTGTTTTGGCTGCCACCAAGCAGTCGGGGCCTTGCAATGGATCGGAGGGGCCAAGGGACCGCCTCCCCACCAGTGCACTTCATTCAGCAACCAGTAAGTCATCGTTGCAGGCTGGGGGAATCGAGAGGGAGCCAGAGTTGCGCCCCTGAATGAGCAGCAGAGAGGAGAATCCCTCGGGACTCTGAAAGATCTGATTTATCCTCCCCACATCCCACAAAATAATCCCTAGGTTGCAGTAGGATGCTGGCTGCAGGGACGGGGTGCAAAATTTAAAAATTCTGGAACAGACTATTTTATGCTGTGTCATCACTAAATCTGCAATAATCCCCACAGCTACAAATTGAGGTTGGAAGAATAACCAGAGAGGGTTGGGGAGCTGGTGCTGCTGGGGCATTGAAACATTTGGGTCAGTTGCCCTGTGCTAAGGAAATTAATGAAGCTTTTTTAAAAATAAAAAAAGTTAATTACCTTTGGAGGGGATTCTGCAGGATCATCTAGCAGTTAAACCCTCCTGCTGTCTTCTGTCTCAGAGATAAACCCCATGACCCAATTGGGAGGCAGTCCGCAAACTGCCTCATTGGATCCTGTCAATGAATTTCCCTCCTTCTGCCCTGGACTTCGCATGTGGGAACTGACCCCACACAGCAATTAGGGGTTGGGGAAAACAGTTCCACCACCACCACCCTTGCCTTGAAAATCCCCCAAGGAATAGGATTACACAGCCTCCTTAGGCAAAGGGGAGAGCCACACAGTATATTTTAAAGCTCATTCAACACACATTTAAAGCACATGACTTTGTCCAAAGAACCCTAGGAAGTGCAGTTTCACTCTAACAGAGCTGCAGTTCTTGACAAACTACAGTTCCTGGGATTTTTTGGGGGGTGATACATAAAAGTATGGCTTGGAGCCGCCCCAAATGTTGCAGAGCAGAGCCTATGCTTCATTCCATACGCTCTTCTGTATGGATGGATGAGGAATCCAAGGGCAAACCAAGGCCAGAATCTTTGTAAAAGGTGTTCTTGCACAGAGTCACAACCTCCTACACTTAGTGCCAATAGATATATTGCCTCCCTAGACAGCTGCTTGGGTTTCTTGCACAGTCAGACCAGTATTTGGCAAAAGGGGGGCCTTCTCACACACGAAGCTAAGGGGGGCAGGTGATGTAGGGGACACATGAAGTGTCTCCTGGTGTGTGTGTGTTTGTGTGTGTGTGCACGCACACACTTTTATAAATGTTGCTGCCGTCGCCAAATGTTCCAAAAGGAATTCAGTTGGAAACAGGGCATGCTTAATCCACTCCCAAGGCTGATTTTCTAATCAAAAACCCACCTTGTTGTGCTTCCCCACCCAGAGGGGAAACAATGCTGGGTCCATGGTTTTCCCACCCCATGCTAGGAGAAAATCAGCAGGAGGGGGGGGATTATTAGGAAAGAACAATAGGAAGCTTCCTTATATTGAGTCAAACGACTGGCCCATCAAACTCACTATTGTCTACACAGACTAGCAGCAACACCCCAGGATTTCAGGGTCTCTCCCAGACCTACCTGGAGATGTCAGGGATTGAACTTGGGACCTATAGCATGCAAATCATGTGCTCTGCCATTGAGTGAGCAGACAGTCCATGGGGAAAGGTTTAAGCACCCCATCGGCCCACTGCTGCCCTCATCAGATTTGGAGATCATCCTCCATTTGGTTGCAGAAAATTGTCTGTCTTGCTATCGTACCCAGTTTGGCTCTTGCATCAAGACTTCTCATTAAATAAATGTGTAACTTGATGGTAGAAAAGAAAAGAAAAGAGGAAAACCTGGCCCAAGAGGGAGCGGTGAAATGACCTCCTAAGAAGAGACAGGATTTATTTGCGCAGACCGATTCTTTTCTCTGACATTAATTCTCAGATTCCGCAGCAGCCGGAGGTGACAATTCTCCAGCAATTGCCCTGGGCTACATCTGTTCCTCCGACATCCAGCAAGGCAGGGCACATCAGGGAAGGTAGGAAACCCAGCACAAGAAAGCCATGCCTGCCATTAGCAGGAGTGTTTAAAATTCTGCGCCAAAACCCACCCACCCCAAGGATCCAGAAAGGCAGGGCTGAATGTAAATCATCTGCATCCCAAGACAGGCTTTATAGCAGATTGGAAGGCAAAAAATAAATGCACCAACCTCTCCACCTACCCACCCTTTCTAAATACTCAGACCCTTAAATGTGCAATTTAAATGTTGGCTGAATTTTCGTTCTGTGGGCTAAGATCTACAACTAAATTTGCAGAGAAGGTGGTGAGTAGAGTTGCTGCTACCACCAGCGTAATAGCAGGAACAGAAGAAGAAATACTATGTGGACACATCGGGGGGGGGGCAACAGCCAGAGTGTATTCGGGGCCACAGCATTGGTGGCCTGTGCTGAGGGAAGCCTGTTGCTAGTCCTGTAGCCCAGAAAGGAAACAAGATTTACAAATCCACCAGCCAAAAGGAGCACAATATCAAGATGAAATATCACCCCACAGACTGCACCCACCTGCCTCAACTGGGTTTTCAAGGCCTTCTGAAAACCTGAAGTTTGATTATGACTTTACAGGGGTCAGTTGTGAGTCCCAGAGTTGTGGCTTAGACTGCCATGTGCATAGATGTCTGTCATTGTGATATACCCAATCCTTGTTTGAGAAACTTAAAAGGAGTGATGTCAACTTCCCTTATTCTTTCAACTGCAGGGAAATTGTATTCCCATACAGTGCTACCTCAGGTTAAGTACTTATTTTGTTCTAGAGGTCTGTTCTTAACCTGAAACTGTTCTTAACCTGAAGCACCACTTTAACTAATGGGGCTTCCCGCTGCTGCCGCGCCGCCGGAGCACGATTTCTGTTCTCATCCTGAAGCAAAGTTCTTAACCCGAGGTACTATTTCTGGGTTAGCGGAGTCTGTAACCTGAAGCGTATGTAACCTGAAGTGTATGTAACCCAAGGTACCACTGTACAGTATATTAGCTCCTAACTTAGTTCACATAGTCTAAGCATTGGTATCTTCTTAACTAAGCTACTTCTCTTGTTTGTAGAATTTCACTTGGTTAGCTCGCTGTCCAACACTTCACTGTACTGAAAGTGGAGAGATTGTTTCACTGCCCAGCTAATTTACAAGGCTTATATCTGCCATTTGTCTTTGCAAAGTGCCATCTATGGCCCAGAACATTCATTTCACCCTTTCTTTCTGGCAGATTTAATGGATCTCATGATGATACAGAATGCCCAGATGCACCAAGTCATAATGAACAACTTGGCCATGTCAGCAGTGGCGCACTTTGAAAACAGCCCAGCCCAGTCTCTGGCACAGGTAGGTAACTGAAAGGGAAATGCTCTGTTCCACAGATGGAGGAGAATTTTGGTTAGTCCGCATTTTTAAGCAAAGGAACCTAATTTGCACTCCACCTAATTTGCACCAAACTAATCTGTAGGTTGGAATGTAATTTGGAATTTGCACTTCTCTGAATTTTGCAATTCAGCTCATAAACGAACCAAAATGTGTTTAACCTGTTCGTTTTAGGGTAAAATAAGTTTAGAACTGCATGCAACAAGCTAAAATATGCATTTAAGTACATATTTAAATATGAATTTTCATTTGGACTTTAAAAAATGCAGGCTAATGTGGAAATTACGAACAAAATGTGAGACACAGGGCGGAAATAGGCTGATCTGTCCATATTTTAAGTGGGAAAAGAGGTTGACATTTTCTCCTTTCCTAAATAATCCTTCTGCCTTGCACCCCAGACACAGCCCTATCACAATCTAGCATGGGGTTGGAGGACTTGAGATCAAAGCTGGGATTGGGAGCAGAGGCCTAGCAGAGTGGAGGGTTAGCTTAACTTTTATTTTCTTTTGTCTGCTTCAACTCTGCCCCAACGACTCTTCTCCATAAGAGATAAAATATACCCGGTCGCCCTGGAGGAGGAAAGTGGGGTCGATGTATTCCAGTGGACATTTCTCAAGCCTTTCACCCTCTCTTTCCTGCAGGTATCCCACGTCCCTTGGCAGATAGAAGAAGAGGAAGAGGATGACCCAGCCCCCCTTGTGTTCCACCATCATTATGCCCCCTACCCAAGCATTATTCCATTCATGGGATGGCAGTCTCCATCTCGGGTTCAGCAACAACCTGCCATTCGCCATGTAGGCCCAGACCTTCAGGTGATGGGGAGGCAAGACAGGTCAGTGTAGCTGGAGATGGGTTTATGAGGAAAGGATAGCACAATCAAATGTGGAGGGGCACAGAACTTCACGGAGATGTTCATATCTGCAACTCAACACTCCAAACGTTGCATTCAAAAATATAACACTAGCACAAGTAGTGAGATAATAATAAACACTCACCACAAGACTTCCGGGACAACGATGAACCTCACAGAGCTGTAATTCCCAGCACCAAACTACAGTTCCCAGGATTCTTTTTGTTGTTGGGGGGGAGTCATGTGTTTGCAGCCAATATCTCCCAACTTCTCATCAGACAGGGCAGAGCCAGCCCAAGGGATTTCGCAGCAAATAGTGCTTTGCCCCTGACCCCTCAAAGTCAAGGTGAGCATAGTACCAAAGCCAGCCAGGTTATTCTGGCACGTCAGGCAGAAAATCCCGCTAGGAACCTCTCTCCCTACCTAGCCGTAAAATCACACACACACTAAATTTAATAACTAACCATTTGCTGCCTTAAAACCAAGTGCCTGTGGTGGCCACCTAATGGTACTGCCAGGACGCTGCCCATCCAAGTTCTTCTGCCTGAATAAATGGCACAGATATGGATACGGGGCCTTTGTTCATGATCCAGCCCCCTTCTTTCAGTCCCGGAGAAGGACAAGGAGGTCTGTAGAGCCCTGAAACCCCTGCACTGTGTAGGCCTTCTTCCTTCGGCCTCCAGCATTTTCATCAGACAACTAGTAAGCATGTCCAAACTTAATTTTTGCTGCCATCATAATAAGGCCTAGAAAAGTGACTTGGGGGGGAGCAAGACATAAAAGATGATACTTTGGGGGTGCAGGCATCTGTAATTATTATTGTTGTTGTTGTTGTTGTTGTTATTTATTAATTTATACCCTACCCATCTGGATGGGTTTCCCCAGCCACTCTGGGCGGCTCCCAATCAAATATTAAAAACACAGTACAGCTTTAAACATTAAAAACTTCCCTAAACAGGGCTACCTTCAGATGTCCTTTAATACTAGGATAGTTGTTTATTTCCTTGACATCTGGTGGGAGGGCGTTCCACAGGGCGGGTGCCACTACCGAAAGGCCCTCTGCCTGGTTAGCATTAGCTAAGCTGATTCTCCTACTTGCACTCCTGTGAGGAGTCCTGTGAGGCACACAGAATTTCCAGTGGAGATTTTCGCACCCCAGTTTTTACTAACTCTCCCATCTTGACTTGTCCCAATAGGGAACCAGTCCCTCCACCCCCACCACCAAGCGCCACTGGAACTGTGATGGCCGATGTCCCACCAGCTTCAGGTAAGGGTGGGTGCTGCAGGCTTTGAAGCATCTGTTTCTGAAATCCCCAGACAATGCTATTATTTTCCCAAGCCTTTCCGTGCAAGTGGGCTTTTGGTATCTCTTTGTCCCAGACATCCTAATGCTGGCACCATGGCACCTTTGCCACCTACTTAATGTCCTATGTCATTTTAGTCTACTGTGCTAATCCTTTCCCAGCCTGGTGCCGTCCATGTTTTGTTTTGTTTTGACTACAACTCCCATCAGCCCCAGTCATCATAGCCAACAGGATGATGGGAGCTGTAGTCTTAAAAGCCTGGAGGAAACCAGCTTGGGGACAGCCGCTCTACACAAACTTATTCCCTCCAGCTCCACCTGTTCAATACTACTTCTACACATTCCCTGCTTCCCCCAAAGTCCTGGAGCAGCACTACAGGATTTAAAACACTGGAAATAAGTTACTTTCATAATATTTGCTTCATCTACAGATATATAAAAGGAGAGCCTAGGTGGAGGCAAACAGGCACTTCCACAGCAGGCGGCCAATCCATCAGCCCTGCTTCTCCATTTGGCTTATTCACAGCTCACTCAGCGTTCTTCCTTCCTTTAAAAAACAACAACAACCCTGCCCCAAATTGTTTTCTAAATTGGCTATAAATGGTTTCTCTTCCTCCTCCCACCAGCGGGAGGATGCCACCTTCCTAAACCCTGATGGGTGCTACAATCCAGGGCTGTAGAGAGATTCCCTGCCAGACATTCCTGGCCGTTAAAGTCCATTTCAATTCTTTTGTTTCAGGACCCCGATTAAGACGGCTCAACTCACAATGCTATTAAATATATCTAAGATAGACAGTGCTGGGGGGGGGGGATCTGGGGCTACCTTTATGCACTGGCAAGGCTGACATAAGTGGTTCCTCCTTCCAGAATACTATGACTACACTGAGGCACAGAGGTGAGGTGAAAGTCTAACCTGCTTGAGCATTTACAGAACAAGACGCAGGCCTCAAACTCCGCCTGGCTGCCCCTTCAGCATCAGAGACTGAGCAAACCGCACTGCTGTGACATGGATAACTTGGTGGCATATTCCTCCCCTTGTTCGATCGAGGCCTCTGAGTATGTGCATTTGGAATAAACTTCATCAATTTGTCTGAGTTGCATTTAATCATAAGAACGTAAGAATAGCCTGCTGGGCCATGCCAAAGGCCCAGTTAGTCCTGGACTGTTCTCACAGCAGCCAACCAGAAGCTCTGTGGGAAACCCACAAGCAACAGCCCTCTGTAGATCAGTGCCAGTTATCTGAATAATTTATATAACCATCCTTCCTCAAAACTTAAGGCAGGGGTTGCCAACCTCGTGCCCTCAGATGTTGTTGGACTACAGCTCCCATCATCCCTGATCATTGGCCATGCTGGCTGGGGCTGATGGAAGATGGAGTCCATCACCAATGGGAGGGTGCCATGTTCCTACCAATGCCTTACGTGGAGATGGGACAATCTGCCCAGTTCCCCGCACACAGCTACAATTCCCAGGGTTCCCTGGGAAGAGGGACTGACAGCTAAACCACTCTGGAAATTATAGGGGGGGGGAATAGGGATCTCCTAACAATTCTCAGCACTCTTCAAAAAACTATTGTTTCCAGAATTATTATTTGGGGGGGGGGGCATAACTGTTTAAAGTGGTAGCACTGATTTTGGCAGCAGCAAAAAAAAGAAAAGAAAAGATAATTAAGGAGGGGTGAAAATAAGGATCAGCTGAAGTGGGGGCTGTGTGTATGGTACGTTTGTATCCAGCTTCTGTGTATTTCGCGTGTGTGTGTGTGTGTGTGTGTGTGTGTGTGTGTGTGTGCGCGTGTGCGTGTGTTGTATGTAGGTGTCCTGTGTGTTATGTGTGCAAGTGAATGTGCATGCAGAATGTGGGATGGCCACATACCCTCTGCTCAAAAAAAAGTTTAGCCACTTCTGCTATAGTGAGTCCCAGCTCACCAACTGAGGACCAATGGACTACATCTTGTTAAAAATAAAAAAGACCTCCCTGGGTTTTAACCAATTTCTGAACATTCTGACCATTTTCAACGGACAAATCCCAGCGGACAAATCACAGGGAAATTCCAGACATATGGCAGCCTACCCCTCTTGGCCTCATTTAGGGAATGTCCAGCACATGGAATAAACTTTTATAAAAGTGTTCCTTTCCAGATGTTTTTGTTTAACACTGTTATACTTTCCGGTCCTATTGGCTGCATTGTCATATGATTGTCCTCTACATTTACTGGCATCTATTTCAAGTTCACTGAAGTAGTTCAGTATCAGCTCAGTCGTGCTTTCACCGGTGTGATCTTTAAGTTAAAAAAAAACTCCAAAAGCATTCAACTGGCAATCCATCACTAGAAGAAACTTTATCTAACAATGACAGCAAGTTGATCAACATGGGAAATATTAGATGTTGAATCAAGTGATAATCTAAAATAACCTGCCTGTTTGATGTCGCTCAGTATTGCTTCTCAAACTGTGTTAGCCATCAGCTGCATAACCTCTTCACATGTAGTTTTGGATAAGTATGATGACTGACTAGAGTCTTTGCCGCCATACTGATTTATGTGAGCACACAGGAAGGGATCAAATTTGGCAATTAATTCAAGCAGTCTAACAAATTTGCCATTGTTTAGTGAACCAAATGTTTCATCATCTCCCCTAAATGCCAAGCCATGTTCTGCCAAAAGGGATATCACTGAAACAACTTGCTGAAGTACATTCCTCCAGTAATCCTGCTCTGCTTTTATTTGCTTTTCGAGTTACTATGTGAGCGTTTGACCATGCTTTCTCATTAAGTGTGTTAGCAAAGAGTTCATATGATTTTTAAAATTTCCATGGGGTTGAACAAGATAAGTATGATGCCAGGCATCAAATCTAATACAAGCTAAAGCTGTCATTGGGGTAAGTTTGGTTTGCATACAGAACAGTAGACTTTTCCTTTCGAGGGAGAATGAATTATTTGAGCAGAAATGGGCTAGTTTTTGTGTGTTCACTTTGAAGGGTAAAAGGTCCGTCCCAGTGCTGACATTCCGATGGGCCTTCCTCAATCCAGAATGATATTTCTTCATTATGGCCCATAAGCCTATGTCATTATTGTATCTGTAATGACTAGTAGCAGGAACAGCTGGTATTTTTGTGTGTGCAATGCTATGATTTTTGCTGACATCAATTGATTTGTTTTCCAATTCTTTAAGATGCTAATGAGTTTGAACTGCTGCTTTTGGTGCAGCTACCTTGTGGCATGTTCCTTCAGTGCTTTGTGTTAATTCTTTGGCTGTAGGTCTTAACACTTCATTGTCACTTTCTCCAGAAGTTTCTGTACTTGTAGTGGTAGTTACTGACAACAGTTCTCTCTGAAGTTCTTGGGTGGCTGCGTTCTGTATATAATCTGGTTGTTCTTCAGTTAGCTCAGACTGCTCAGCGTGATCTTCTTGATTTCCTTCTGTTTGCAAACACAAATGTTCTGTATCTGAGGGACTGGGTAGGGCTGTTTCTGCTTGTTGTACGAAGCCATATGACATGATTAGCTTTAAATGTTTGAGTATTTCCTTCTGTTCTTCTTCTTGTTTTCTTTTACTAGCACCACTCTCATATTGCTTACTCATTATTATTTTCACAAAAAGTGAAAGTTAAATATTACTGTGATTCACAAGGATATGTCAGTCAGTCCTCAGTTGCTCTCAGAATGCGTGCTATAATGATAGACAGTGAACTGAACCCAAGTCCCCCTAGATTATGAGGCCTTGGGCCACAGCCCACACAGCCTGTGTGTAAATCTGGCACAGGTTGAGACTCTCCATTGAGCCATAACAGCCCATCCTTGAATTCAACCCACCAGCTCTTGTTCCCTGAGCCCCCTCTTCCTCCAGCACCGGTTGTAAAGAGTGCTGTCAACTCAAAATCAACATGCAACTCTCTAGTGCATGGGTAGGCAAACTTAGGTCCAGGGGCCAAATCCAGCCCAATCGCCTTCTCAATCCAGCCCACACACGGTCCAGGAATCAGCGTGTTTTTACATGAGTAGAATGTGCACTTTTATTTAAAATGCATCTCTGGGTTATTTGGGGCATAGGAATTCGTTCTTTTTCTCTCTCTTCAAAATATAGTCCGGCCCCCCACAAGGTCTTGTGAGGGACAGTGGACTGGCCCCCTGCTGAAAAAGTTTGCTGACCCCTGCTGTAGTGAATTGTGTTGCTGCTGCTGCTGCTGCTGAATCATATCATTTTTCCAAGAAGCTCAAGGTAGCGTGTGTGGATTGTCCTCCCCATTTTATCTTCATAACTAGCCTATAAGGTGGGCTGGACTCAGAGATTCAGCGATGTGGTGATCAGTATTGAAGCTCAGGAGCTCCACGTGACCCAGTGCCCATCTCCACCCCAAATATGCAGGCAGCTGTAGTGATCTTTTAATATATTTATTTTAGTTCCGTTTATTCCACTTTGACAATGTATACATTGCTTAACTATAATTGTCTCTAAGCGTTTGGTTTTTTTAAGGAAGGGTGCACACCACACATTTAAAGCACATTTACACCTACCACCACAAATCCAGGGAGCTGTAGTTTATTCATTACGAAGCTACAATTCCCCTTACAAACGACAGTCCCCAGAATTCTATGCAGCAACTCACCTGCTTTATATGTATGACAGGTATGCAGCCTTAGTTAAAACTAAAAAAAATCAGAATAAAAACTGCTGGTTTTTTAAAAATATATATATATTTATAATTTTCAATTTTATACATTTCAATAATTTTTTACAATCATTTTAACATTTCGAAACCCGACTTCCTTCCCCCCTCTTTCTGCGGTTCCTTAAATTTATTTTTTATATTTTCTTCATATTCCAAATTAACTTAATCATTTATTCATCTACTTTAAGTGTATACTCTTATAAAACTGCAGGTTATTACAATAATCCTGCCAATGTTCTTATCTGTTTACAGTTTATTTGTAAATATTCAATAAATCATTTCCATTCTTTTATAAAAAGTTTGTTATCTTGATTTCTTACTTTTCCGGTAAGTTTCACCATTTCTGCGTATTCCATAAGTTTTTGTATCCATTCTTCTTTCGTCGGGACTTTTTATTCTTTCCATTTTTGGGCAAGTAACATTCTTACCGCATGCAGGAATAAATTTCTATACAGTTTGGGTAGTTCTATCCCTATAATTCCAAAAAGGAAAGTTTCTGGTCTTTTTACAAACGTCGTTTTAAACATCTTTTTCAATTCATTATATATCATTTCCCAGTAAGCTTTAACCTTACTACAACATAAAAAGAGTCTATTTTCTCTTTCCATTTCCAACAATTATTTGATTTTGATTTATACATTTTTGCCAATTTACGTGGTGCTAGATACCATTAATATAACATTTTCATTTAATTTTCTCTTAAACCATAGCATGCTGTAAATTTTATATCCGTATTCCACAATCGTTCCCATGCTTCCAGATCTATATTATAACCAATATCTATTCCCCAATGTATCATTGAGGGTTTTACTTGTTCAACCTTTGTCTCCCATTCCAATAGTATCTTATACATTTTAGACAGCAATTTTACATTACATTCCAACAGATCTCTCTCCAGTTTTCATGTTTGTTCACCCAACCCTTGTATCCTATCTTTCTTAAATACTTTGTTCAAATGATGCTATTATATCCATGTTGTTAATTTTCCTGATCCTTAAAGACTCAGTAGGTGTTTTTCTCCCCAGATATCAATTAGACTTAAATTGTCTGTCATCTTAAAAAAAAAAAAAAGCCTTGGGTAGCTTCCCTTCTTTTGTATCGCTTTTTCTTATAGTCCTATTCCATTCCAGGGAAGCTACACCATTCACATCTCCCATCAAAATTACCTTTTCATTCATATATTCAAATGGAATTTCTTCAAGTTTCATAAAAGTCAGTTTTTTCCTCATTTGGTGCATATACACCTATTAGCAATAGTATTTCTCCTTGTGATGTTATCTGTATCATCAATATTCTTCCTTGCTCATCTTTAATTAATTACTTTGGATCTAATTCAGGTTTTATACACATTATCACCCCTCTCTTATTTTTTACGTCAGAGGCCACAAAGTCCCTTCCCAATCTTTTA